GAGGTGATCTCCGGGGGCCAAGGGCTGTGAACCCCCCAGCAAGGCTGTGAAACCCACAGGAGAGCTGCAAACAGCAATGTAAGGCTGTGAACCCCACAGCAAGGCTGCAGACCCCCACAGCGGGGCTGCAAACCCCATGGCAGGGCTGCGAACCCCAGAGCCCTCTTGGAGGCCGATGGAGGAGATGATTTTGCCCACTAGATGGCAAGCTCTGCCCAGCATCCCCGCACAGCCCAACTGTCGCTTGGCCTCCATGGACCACCTCAAGCCCAGCACAGGGGTCCAGAGCATCCTTGCAGGAGATCCCAACCTTTGGGAAAACCCTTGTCTGCAGCTCATTTTGGTCCTGCATGCACAGGACACCCACCAAGACCCACCACGAGGCACCATCTCCATGTTGCCACCTCCCTCTGCCTGGAGAAGCCAGCAGCAGCAGACACATCTCCTCCTGTTCCGCACTACAGCCGTGCAAGGCCAGGCCCCAGCATCGGGCAAGCCCTGGGCAATGCCAATCTCAGAAAGCTGTCGGGGAACTGGAAGCATCAGTTTCTGCAAACAACTTTAGGCTGGGAAGAGATAGCAGAAAGCCGGAGGAGATCCCTGCCAAGGACACAAACCCAGGCAATCTTTCTCCTGGGCCAGGTGACTCTTGCACGGCATCTCTCAGCTTTCCTCCGGACCACGTGCAAGTGCAGGGGAAGACCCAGCTTGCTCCTGCTTGGCGAGCCTGCCCAGCGCTAGCACCTTCCCAGGTCTCTCGTGGCCAGCAGGCTGCAAGTGCTTCCATAAGAAAGCAATTACACTAAATAATCTCAGGCCATTAGCCGAGTGAACTCAAGTGGATATTTCCTCCCAGCGATGGACTGCTCTGATTACTGCATAACTAATTCGACCAGGAGCAGAGTCCATTGCACTGAGTGCATTTATCTGAACAAGGTAAAACTTGGGAGATAGAAATCTCATTTACAAGGGCAGATGAGTGCAGCTAGATATACAGCCGCGCAGACCCAGAAGATGGATGGAGCCGAGGGAGCCCAGAACAGCTGTGCCTGAAGCACATTTGTAAATCTTGGTCTGTATCCCCGGTTGTAACGTGCCAGCAGCCAGCTGCAGGCTTCACAGAGATTATATATGAAATCAAGAGACGCTCGTGGAGCCGAGGCCCAAAATACAGGTTTCATTTTAAAAGAGGAATAGAACAGAAAAGGCTCCACGAAGAAAGCACAACGGGGAAAACTGTTGGTGTTTCAAACCCTTTCTCTCTTTCTCCTCTTGTAAAATATTGGCCGTTCCAGCAGGAGCAGATCATGGGAAGATATGGTCATAGTGCACATCTGAGACCTGCAGCTGGCTCTGATCCCTGTATGAGTGGGCAGGCTGCTCCATCCCCATCCATGTTGCGAGCAGGATGGAGGAGACTCGTCCTGCCTTTAGAGAAGAGCTCCAAAAAGACCTGCATTAATGTGGAGGCAGCGGAAGTGCTCAGGACTAGGGCTAAAGGAAAGGTTACAGCCCACCCACCACAGTGCTGGAGCACCACGGCATGGCCTGCACGTCCTGGCTGAGGGTTGCAGCACCTGCACAGCTGGTTTTGCTCCACGAAGCAGGTAACCTAGCCCTGGGCAGCTAGGAGAGGCTGCAAGAGGTCAGGAAAGATAGGAAGGATGCAACTCAGCGAACCAAGCGGGTTGGAAAAGAGCAGTGAAACCAACCGCTTTGAGCCCGCAGCGCCATGCTGCGGGGAGGAGGGAAGGGAGAGAGGTGAGCGAAGGGCAATGCTGATCCCAAGCGGTGCGAGGAGGAGGCGCGGAGGGCGGTCCGCGATGCCTTGTCTGC